AAATCACGCTGCCTGGTGAACACCGGGTGACCGCAAGACAGCCAATCGGAGTCCAAGGAATTTGGTTTTGCGCCTAAGCGTGCATTCGTCTTCAATATTCTACGAGGGCCATTCCTGACACGCGCCTTTCTTCACATCACTGGTTCTTCGATGCTGCACATACTTTCAGGAAGCTAGCTCTTTTTGTTGAGTTTCTCGACGGGCGACGACTCAAATCAACAGTTCCTGAAGGAATATACTACAGGGTGGTCCAAAATTATGAGGACCGCGTGCGCGCGCAGTTATATCCACTTTTTTCCGAGTCGCTCCATTTTCATCTCCTTTTCTGTGCACTATGTGAAAGGGTACAATGTCTTCTTCCTAACTGAAACCAAATTTCATGAAGTTCTCAAAACTAGTGAATAACTACATCACGTCGACGTCAGTCCTGAAATTAAACTCAGAAGGGTTTTGGCACGCTACATCTGGCTGCAGTTCAACGTGACAAATAAACTTTTAATGGGCAGCAGTTCATCGCTTCAACAAGTTCCTAACCACCACAGATGGGAAATGCTGACCGTCAAAAGATTACGGTTGCCACCACGACAGTAATCAGATGCAGAGACTAGCTTCTCTCTTTTAAGACTTTCGTACTCGGCAAAATAAAAAATGCTGCCTGTAACAACCGGACCAGCTAAACCAATCTCTAAAGACTACACTCTATAATGGAAAGAAAGCCACTCGAGTTCTCTATTTGGGACTTAGTATAGAACAGAGCACTCAATAATAAAGCAGCAATTCCCTAAAAAAAACTATTTTTTGAGCTCCTTGCTTTCAAGGAATTGTTAACCGTGGGAATCCACCGCCTAGCCCAATTTGTCTAGATCCATTCACATGCGGATAGATAGAGGACACTTGTAGACTTGTAGACAGCTGTGGTAAATAAGGCACTTAACCAAAATGGTTCAAAAGAAAGTTGTGAACTTTTGAAAATTTTTGTCACATCGGCAAGTACTCATGACTCAGCCTAATATTTTCGTGACTGTTCCATTTGAGTCCCACCTGAGAAACTGAACGAAAGGAGCCTGTCAAAATATGTGTAGCATTGGAGAACCAGAGACTGTGAATAAAATGGCGAGTCAAGAATGGCTCTGTTGAAAATTCCAAAGGACCAGTGCAACCTTGGAGGGCAGCCAAGTGCCTTGGGCCTCCGGTTGCTTCTTGCGGTCATCCCGTTTACAGCAGACGGTGATTTTCAGTAGATATAATAGCAGCGAAGGAGACACACAATCAGTATTGGGTGAGTGCGAACACGTATGACTCTCTGATAAATCTTGCTTTTCAGTAAGTGATAAGGCAGCTAATGGAATAAACAAGCCAATAGCTTGCAGGACTTGAGCTATCAATGTTTTGTAGCAGGATAATTGTGATAACACCCTACGGCTATATAAACACCTGCTGAGCACACTTCCGGTCATTCCACATGGTGCTGCAGTGGCAGCTGGAGGGCAGTGGAGGGAGGAGGGAGGATGGGGAGGGGAGGCGGAAAACCATCAAACAGACCGAAGTGCAGTTAGGTGACATTCTACCGTCATGTCATGATTATGGCGATGCCCTCTACTATATGAAACACCTTTGTGTTGCATACGCGTCACTTCCACGAGGTGTTGGTGTCACAGGAGGAAGGGACCATAGCGGAGGATAGAAAGCTTGCGCAGGAAAGGAAGGTCCCGGCGGTTGACGGGGGACTAATCTGGGAGGTATGAATTTGAAAGATAGCATTCGATGCGGCTATCTGAATTCGTCCGATACACAACTTCCTCATCCCACGATAAAGTGCGGCTGAGAGAGAAGAGGCCTATCGAGGCGTAATTGGCGGTTTCCTTTGCTTTCCTTTCCTTTTTCAGGCTACTCCCACGTTCAGCTTCATTATTGACGCTCTTACATACCCACTTCATCTCGGGATAGAATTCAAATGAAACAACTTGCAGCTTGCGTTTTAGAATGGAGAACTTCGCATTTGCATCCGTGATAATAGTGAGATGAGAGGTAATCCACCTTCTGTCGATATGAATGGAACTTCATGTTAACTGTGGCTTTTGATCAGGTGATGACCGCTTTTGTTCCTGTACCGCTATGTCTCCACGTTCCATATTTTTAAAGGAATCTTCCACGGACCATGGACCAGTGGGCGGGACCGGAAGTGGTTTTGCGACGAAATGCATGGTAGGTACGGATCCACGTTCATGGGAAGGTTTGAAGTGAATCCTGTTCACGTTCGTGCGTTCGACACGTGGATCCGTACCTACCATGCATTTCGTCACAAAAACTTCCGGTCCCGCCCACTGGTCCATGGTCCGTGGAAGATTCCTTTAACTTCGAAGATTTTGGGACTTAATTCTGCGCTAAGGCGGGCTCTGATTAGTCTCTGATCGACTCCTTTAGATTGTATGTCACTTTTTGAGAGGAATCGAAACGCTCTTCATCGCTATTTACGGAAGTTTTGGATAAATCATGAGCTGCAAGTCTGATAGCAAGTTCTCAACAAAAAATCTTCTCAGTTACATCCGCCTCAAAAGAATTATAGAAGATATCCGCTTTCTCTTGAGGCGCAGAGTTGTAATTCACCAAAGTATTGATTAACAGCTGACAAAATCACACACATATATGAGACAGTAATTGGAAACATTTTTGAACATTCGAAATTGCCTTCTAATAATGTCGATTGAACTCAGTAAGGTATTCAAGGCATGTCCTTTAGATCCTATAGAACGTGACAGTTTGATTCAAAGCGTTCCTTCCAATTAAAGAGATAACTATTAATGGAGCCCCTTGCGCCTGTCACTATTTACTATTTTATTTTGGATGAATGTAAAATAGAGCTGGCGGAAAATCTGTTATTATACCGCCTAGAGTATTCCAGTTTTAAAGAAAAATTTAACAAATTGAGCCATTCAGAAAAATTCAAAATTGCAGAATATACGGGATTAATATGCTCTTTTAGAGCTGTGTCAGAGTCCGCGATGCGTCGCGCGAATTGCGTCACTCACAAAATCGCAGGTGCCCCTTTTGAGAATATGAAAGAAGTAGAGTGATAACCCTGTTCGTCATTCAACCATCAAACAGAAATGGCGGCGGGATTGGAGAGTACCTCGCAGTATTGATCAATACACTTGTGAATTCTAAGATCCGTCGCGCGAGTCGTGCGAATCGCGCGACGGATCGCGGACTCTGACACCAGCCTGTAAGCCGATATAGACTTCTCAGTTCCAAGAAGTGGAAAGAAAACAAATGAGATGGAAAAACACGGAACGCTTTCCAAAACTAACAATTGACCTGGGCGAGATAGTTTCGATCTGCCAGATTGCAGAAATGTTGGTGTCGCTCCCCCCACTATTTCATCATGGCCACCAGCTCACTTCAGAGAGGGCTACCTTCGGTTATTTTTCGAATGTTAGGAACAAAGAAGCAGACCTGGTATGTAAACAGATTGACATTGATTGGGCTGAACTATCTAATGGAATGTTTCCAGTCGGATATTGAGCGATTACAGTGCGTGTGATTTCGAATAGTCACCTTTCATATTTTTCAAAAACTGCTCCTTAGTGTTTATTTGCTCATTATATTTACTATTTACCTGTTCTACACAACATTTCCTGGCGTTCCGAAGACTGATGGCAATCAGACTTTGTAACGTAACCATTTCTCTATATTTACTTCGAATATTTTGGTAACCAATAGCTTGGTATCTTAACTCCTTTTTTTCAAGTTATTTTTCTACACAGAATCCTCGACATGTTATTATAATTATTCCGATTGAAGGCGATAGCTCGCTGTCTATCCAGCCCAGCGCCCTCAAATTCGCTGTCGATTGGATTTGGACCACTAGGACGAGGTCATTAAGCGTGAGGTTGAATGAAATGAATAGGTTGCCTCGCGCTCGCATATCGAGTCAATAGGCGTTCGACATTGAGTGACGTGATGTGAGTGCATCGCATCAGCGCCAAACCAAACGAAAGCTTCTTCGCTCCGCCTGGCGAGTTCCCACAAGGGTTCTTCCTCATTCAGGAGCGTACTTGGTTCAAGATAAAAACTAAAACTCAAAAATGAATTTAGTGAAGTGCAGACACTTACACACCCCTAGCTCTATTAAATTGCTAGGGTTCAACCATATCTGAAACTGCGTATAAAGCAAAAGGAATGAGACATTCGGCATCCAACAATCACTTTTTGGTGTGCGTCACCCATTTTGCATGCATTCACAATCTAGTGGCAATTTGAATGCGATTTGGACAACAGAAAGAATTGCGGGGGCCAGACGATGTCAGCTGAGTGTTGTTGCCCTCGCAGACGGCTGTGTTATTTCAAGGCAACTTTGGCTAGATAGAAGGCTAAGATAGCCCAAGCGGGATTCGAACAGGGATCTGACGTCGGAACGTGCGCTTGGTCAGCGACCAAAGCTCTCGAACATGGTCACAGGCGTGGCTGCCGCCAAATCATTCTAAACGGTGTGTATGCTCGATACATTGCATACCATGGAATTGTGGAAAAGCTGGAAATCACTTCTACGAGCATGGTTGGGGAAGGGGGGGGGGGAGGGTCCAGTCCTGAAGCAACACTTCTATTTCTTCGCGGTCTTTTATACGATACCAGTTTCGTCTTTGAGAATAAAACATTGCGGCTATCCCTGCAAATCACTTTATAGCACAAGTTCCATTCATGTGCCACTACGATTTTTAATGGAAAGCGGAATGCGTGGCGCATTCCAAAAAGGGATTAGTCAGAGCGAAGCTTTTCCTCTTATCGCCAATACACAATTGCATATAAACCACTTATGACGGGAACTAAGATCCTAGCTAGGGTACGGGTAAGTGTGAATACTAACCTCAATTGATAATCTCTAAACCGAATGTATTCGATGAATTTCAAATAAGTTTTATATTACAGCTAAAAAAATATTGCTAAAAAAGTATAATATATAGCTAGCAATTGTAACTTAGTTAATGATAATGACCCCCCGAATGAAGGATGCTGCCCATTCGAGCAACCTTCCGCTCTTCCGGGTTCGTAACATGTATGCATTGGATTTCAAAGCGATTCTCTCCACGCGGCTCCTTCACTGTTGCCAGCCGGGTGGTGCGTGAAAGGGGCGTGGCTTGGGCAGGGCTGGATTCAGTGTGTTGTGTGATGCCGCAGCGCCTTGAGCGCACTGCACGCGCACTCTGCCTCACCCTCAACACCGTCTTTTTCGTGAGTCCTTTAGTTCCTTCCTCTATTCGGCATAATATTCCCATTTTCCCGAATTCCCCGAATAAATCGCGATTGTGGCGCCCCCTAAAACAAAACTGAGGCATTTTGCTATGTTGTTGGCCCAGCGGATGGCACATAGTGAACATTGAGCGTAAAACCAATCCGACGGCAATTCTTCGTTCTTTGAACGGGCATACGTCGATGCCTATGAAAGGAAACTGGTCTTTCGGGAACAGTTGCGACTTGTTATCGATTGAAGTCTGGTGGTTTGTCGACGAATTCACATTAACTACCATTAAACTATGATTATCCTTTACAGAAAGTCGCCTGCACCCCGGGGAAGATGAGCAGTAATGGGTCCAGGCCAGTTATGATGGGTGGGAGGGCTCAATCAGTCCCTGGGGGTGGTCTTTAGCGCGTTACCCTGCTGTTTCATGTAGCTGTGATGAATAGGTCTTCGGTCCATTATTATCGATGTACGTTTGCAGTTGTTGTCGATCTGTCTAATTGCCTTCGTGTGTTTGGCGGCGATAAATGCGCCTAAACCTGACATCTCACCACAACCTCTCAACTCCTATCCTCAGGTGAATAGTTGACGCATTCCACTTGTTTATTTGTTTATTTTTGTTATATTATTGTTGATCTTACTTGTTCGTTTTCTGATATTCGGCTTTTATTTCCATTTGCTACCTTATTATGTCTAAAAAATTATGCTTGCACAATAGCAAACACCTCCATAGTAGGATAAATTTCGTGCGGGAGCAAACATTAGCGCCGGCTCCTACAAAAGACAAGTGACGGCGAATTTCCGCTCGATGCGGAGAATTCTATTTTTTTTAACTCATCTTTATCCTTGAAGTATGTCGAGAGTTATTTCAAGCGCCCTTGTTAAAGAATAAGTTTTATCTTCTCTCTGGCCTTTTCTATTTTTTTTTTTGGGCTCGCAGCTTTAAAAGGCTAATCCTATCTTTTCTGCCTGCCCGTATAATATTCATAGAGTTATACATGTACTGATTGCCACAATGCTTCTGTTTTTTTTTACTATGTCCTTCCAGTCATTTTTGTTCCTTTACCCGGTTCGCATAACAGTCAATTCTACAAATAGCAAACCTAAAGGTTCATTCCCACCCTTCATAGGCGCTATCGCAAAATACGGGGCATTCTCTAGGACTAAGTCTAGGAGTGTGAAGGGGGAATAAAAATTGCGAACGCACTTAGATTCTCTGCCACTCCCACTTAGGCGCTTGAACCGATTTTTTAAAAGGGATGTTGAACGTGATTTTGTATGCGTTGCCATAACAATGCCCCATATCTTACGATAGCGCTCCTTTCTTACTTTACTTACAGTTCTTCGTAGATTATGATCGATTTCTTCCATAAGGGAAACTGTCAAATTTTTGTCACGTTTGACTTAATTCCTAGCACTAAAACACGTTTGCAAAACGACCTGTACAAGAGTAGGTCCCCCTTCACTATACAGTGATGTCCTGCTATTGTTTATATTTCCCCTGTTCTTCTTTTGAGAGGCTAAAGATTGTTTTGATGGGCACTCTGCTTCCTTTATCTGCAGAAAAGACCAGTAGTGCCTTGACGAAAGCTGGAGAGAGCTCCTCATTGAGTGACACTCATCAAATCGAGTAATCATCAAGTTGTTCAATCTCTCTATGAAGCTTTCGTTGTATTCCTCAAGCCATCCACAATATAAACCTTACTCACAAGGAAATTCTCAAAAATTAGCCCTTAAACTGTCGATATGACAAAATCTCAAACTACGTGAAATTGTTCTTCAGCCGAAGTACTGCTAATATGATTGCCCTTCAGCGACGTTCGAGCACGGACAGTTGTGCTGATAAAGGCTGAGGAAAAACATTTGTTCACCTGACACACAACCAATTCACGCTGATGAATTAGCAACCATGTTTTTGTTGTTCACTAGAAACCCGTCGAATGGCTCGTTTCTTCGCCAGAAATAGTTCTCGTAGTTGATCCTCACAAGGCTTCAGTAGTATGGGGTTTCTATGAACGGCGCTCAACATAGTACAAAAACCAGTCCGAAAGCGTTCCTATGACTTGCCTACGCAACCAGTCAGCTGGTTCTGACAGCTTATTTGGCTTGGTTGGCTCTTATCGGAAACGTTCTCGTCGTGGAGTCTCGATCGCCAATAAAATCTTATCAAAGTTTGCTCGACAGCTGGACAATGAGAGGGACAGCCGTGATTGGGAGATTCGAAGCATCGAGACTTAATGCTTTTATTGGATCTACACCGAAGAGACAGACGTTGCCCTTTCTTTATTATCGGATCGGAGGGCTTCTCCCCATGGACACCCCCCCCCCTATTGAGAATCACTTTTCCTTATGACATTCCAGGTATTTGCACTGACTATTACTGATAAGCAAATCACATGAAATCTATGAATAGGGAACTGATGGTGACTCACTCGTTAACACACCTACGATCGATCCCTATCTCTGATAGCCATGATGTTATGGGTGGAGTGAGTCATAGAGTAGCCGAAGCATGTAATTAAGCCTATTAGGACTAGTAAAGTTGACTCATAGCTCCGAGTTCAGAACCGTGATGGAATAAGGTGAACTCTTGCCTAAGATTACTCCCTACCTTCCAAAACTACTTTTACATATCTTGTTTTCTCACTCTCCGCCCCTTTCTAACGCACTTGAGTGAAGCTCTAGGCGGATATCCGCTTATGTCCGTGTGTAGGTGTAACCGTTGCTTAAGTGGCTTGTCAAAGTACAAGCCCTGACACGACGTCAATTTCCTATTCAAATGCCACCCGCTTCCTTAGAAAATGTTACCAGGAAAAGCATACAGTACTTTTTCTTGTTCAAAGACCTCAACTGTCTGCTAAATGTCCTTCACACTGAGCTAATAACATAATAATATTGAACAATAATAGTGTACTGGATGTGGATGGACATGGGTAAATGGGTCGTGAAGGCTCTTCTGCCTTTACTTTTTGATTTTTGCTAGCTTTTTATATCCTCATGCAATGTGCAGGCTGCTGTTGTCTTCTTACCTGTCTCTAATTCGGGTGCATTTTCCCCCCTCTTCACTGATGGACCTCCCCCCTTTGAGCTGAATAATCGAAGCTAAATATAATAATAATAATGGCTCAAATAATAATACTAATAAATGGAGGCCGAGCTTTTTGCCTGCACCTTGATGAGAAGCCTCGATTCTGAGGTGCTCCGCCTTCCCTAAACAGAAAGATTTTCAAATAAAGGTAATGTAACGGCAAAACTGACACCACGATACTGTGAGAGGAGATTTTTTATTCCCAGACGTCTCGCGACCATGTATATTAACGAAGTCTGTGGAGTGGAATGATTAATTTTCCTGAATGACTCGAAAACAACAAAAATGTGGGCACAACAGGCGGATTAACTTCCTCTTCAGAAGTGGACATTAAAATTCTCACTAAAAGTTCGAGAATCATTCCTGACCAAGATGACAATTCAGACAGCCTCTGGTGGAAGAAAGCTTCTTCATTTTGTGTTTTATTGCAATCATATGGTTAGGAGTGAGTTGGGCATGAGTTAGGTCCATTCTTCTTTTTTTTCAGGAACCATTTACTCACTATTCAATACATCAGTGAGAACAATAACCTATTTATAAACCTTTGGATTATTGGAAAATGGAAACAAAGCATAGAACGTTTGCTGCTGAAAAAATAAATGAAAAACTAAACTAGGGTTATGCCAACAAATTTCTGCAATTTCATAGAATCATAGAATTCCATTTCTTTGCATTCGCTGACGTAGCCTTTAGCCCATATAAAAACTTCTTAATAAGCACTCAGTGTTGCAAATGCAATCAGCTGTGTCACCTGTCGCCCTTTGATCGTCGAGTTCCTAGAGCGCGTGCCAACATTGTGCCGATTCGTTCCTGTCGTTTTCCAGAACATACATAGTGAATTTAACGCGCTGGAGGAAGACTTTCATAGCAACACGTTACAGAAATGCTATAAATTAAAAAATGCGACCTAATAAATTAAAAATGTAAAAATTGTACTTTCCGCAAGAAAATTCTGCTCTGCTCGGTTTTCCCACTATCTGATCTAATTCGTGCCGAAATCGGCTAACCGATTCATTACGTTTACCGTTAAGCTGTGGTATGCTTACTATCGAAACCGGGTTGGTGGTGCAACTGGCAGTACAATTGCCTGGAAAGCATGAATCCGGGTAAGAATCCCAACGGGGCGAATGCTTTGCCCATAACTCAGCATTCTTATGATAAATTCCCACGATTGCTCAAAAGAAATGATTCAGCTCTATAATTCCCCATATAGCCATATAACAGGAAAAATCTGTCCTGAAAAAGCTCTCCATAATCTGAGACCTCCCTGGCAAAGGCAGAGAGCGTGGGCCGGCGAGCTCAGTCGGTAACAGGTGTAGGATGAAAGAACGCCATCCATATTCAACAAGGAAGAAACTAACAATGGAGGCTCAGTTCCTCGTTGAATGTGCGTGGAACTTCTTGCATAGGCTTACATAGGTTTCTCACGTAATACATGCCCATCCATCGACAAGAAGGGGTTTGATTTCAATGACTAATCAAATAGCATATTATTAGTCGCCTTGGGTGGTAGTTAAATTTACCTTCTTGAGCTTAATTTTGTAGAATTTCATCAGAAGATAATCTCTCAACCAAAATCCTGAGTAAAAATAACATTCCACGGCTGCCATGCTTTTCAAAGCCCTACTGATAACTAAATAATACTATCATTAGAATATTATACAGAGGGGGCCAATAAAAAAAGACATTTTGTCTCCAGACTCAAATGGATTTAATCACACTTTGCTCAGCTCAAAGCGTGTGCTCCCAACTTAGAATTGAAGAGCGCATTTCATTTCATAAGAAAATCTTCATAGTGGCCATCTACGTGGACGGCATCAGAAAATTTTCCCCGGAAACATGGGTGCTCTGGTCGAGCTCAGTGGGGTTCTCGACTGATCGTGTACCGTTACGACGGGTTCGAAGCGGTTCCGAGGGGGTTTGGCATAGTTAGAGCTAAAGTCCCTGAAACTATCCCACGTTGAATCGATCAGTTTATGTAGAGCTTTCAGGATGAAGCAGTTACTGTAGGCCTCCTGAGCTCGACGACGGTGACAGATGACGTCATATTCTGAAGACGGTGAGGGTAGTGAAGGAGGGCCTGCGTGTACTTATAGAGGGACATTTAGGGAATATTTTGCTGAGGAACTTCCGTCAACGACGGCAATCTCTGCGAAAGAAAAAAGGCCGAAGTGCGACCTGAGCAAAATGTCTTTTTTTCTGGCCCTCCCTGTGGTTATATACATATTTATGTAGTATTTACTGTAGAATTATGATAATATTCTTAATAATATGCTACGTGAGAATATTGTCACTCCACAGTTTATTCTTGTCAATAATTTAAGAAGTGTTTTCAATTTCAGTATATCATAACGATTCTTCTCATTGCCTCCTATTCATGCTGTCTTTTCTGCCTGAATGCGTTCGGATTCGTCGCATTATGCCTGCAGGGATCATTTCTAATGTCCATAGTGAGTCTATTTTCTTCTTCGCTTCGGATTTATTTGAATTTTCCATTCTCGCTTCTGCTTCGTTTCATTGCTCGCGAGCGAATGGCCTCTCTCTAATGAGCCAATGCTGCCCAAAAAAAAAACCCGAGAGGAATTCACGATTTCTCAAGGAGACGTCCAGCAGAAGGAGCTAAATTAATGGCTTTCAAGGGTACTTTCAGATGTATCCCCTCCTATCCAGTCTCCTTTTAGTGGAGAAGATTAATCCCAAGCGATCAAAAGGGAACCATCATTATCTCCAAAATGACGATATGCTTAAAGAATAATGACGTAAAACTCAACCGTATAAGAATGTTTAAGAATGTTACAAAAAAATTGTAGCAAAATTGGATTGGATTAAATTGTAATGCATTATTGATTTAATCAGTTGATCCCTTTTACAGCACCAGCCATGAATTTCTACAGAAGTAGTTGAATTCTCGAGGTGAAGTCACATTGATTGGCAAGTTGAAGTGAAACCGCGCCCGTGTACCCTTTTTGTTGACTCAGCTTTGCGGGATGGGTACTCACCTGGCCACGTGATCTGTAGTCTCTACCTCCACGGAAAAGTGTGCCAGATTTGTACCTATACTCAGTAAGAATAAAATTTAACAAGTGGCAATGGGAGCTATTGTGAAAAAATTCTATTTCTATTATTAATCCACTATGAATAGATAGAACAAAAATATAAAATAAATAAATAGACCTGACCAGAAATAGACTCAGCTAGCAATGGGAAATATGGTGAAGACTTTTCAGTTCGATTTTTTTTCTGGAGGTTTCCATTCATTTTTGTTCTCGTTTGCTAGGTTTTCGTTTTTTCTCAGTTTCCACCCAATTTTTCATCATTAGGGCTTTCAACAGAATCGTCCTTTCACCTGCCACTGATATAATACATAGGGAATCATTTTTTCATGTTTAAAGCGATATCTTGTTC